CCATCCGAGGCAAGTTCCTTCCTAGTCCTTTCCTTTGGTGCTTTCAGTAAAGGAAGAAGAAGGCAAGCTGATGGACACCACCATTCATTCTGACTGATGCTCAGCCCACTGCCGGTGCCTCTCTGTGATTGCCCCCCAGGGATCTCTGGGGCAGCTCCAACCTACTCTTATCCACTCAGCAGGAGCACTTCCAAAGTGTAAACAAATGACACCTGAGAAGCTGAATCGCACTAGTCTGTGCCTGGCCACCTGTGGAAGCATCTCATAACTCCCGATGATGAGCAGAATCCAATAAGGACCCATGGGGAGGGATATCTTAAGAGTACATAGGCCCTTGTGTGCTGAGATTGTTCTGTCGTATGACACCTGATTCTTAAAATGCTGTTTATTCATTATGGACAAAACCAAATCTGTTCAGACAGAGATGTGCTCTAGAAGAAAACGTGGGGTGCAAACATCCAGGGATAAAGAATGACATGATAAGAAAAGTCATTGATTTCATTTTGGTGACAAGAGATTGAAGGAAACAACAGGGACTTGTGAGTGACCTAAGATCCCCATCTGTTAGCTGAATGAACAAGTAATAGTAATCAAAGCTAACATGAAAATGGCACCTACTATGTACTGGGCACTATTCTCAGCACTTACATATAATTATGTAGTTAGTCTTCAAAATAATGGATAAAATAGATGCCATTATGATCTATTAAAGATGACTTAACCGTAGGGAACCTAGCTCGTTCAGTTGGTAAAGCCCTTGTTGATCTCAGGGTTGTGTGTTCTAACCCCCACTGGGTGTAGAGATAACTTTTAAAAATAAATTAACTGAGGCACAAAGAGTTAAGCAATTTGTTTAACGTACCTTCTATTTACAGCGTATTTTCCTATGTTTAGGGAGTGAAGTCTTTTATAACAAGTCTTAAGATTCTCCTACAATATGTTACCAAATAAATGTTATCTCTTCAACCATCTATATTTCTTGAAAAAGCACTGAAAGCATTCATAAACTTGAATGTAGCTTAAATAGTTAATGTCGCCAGCATCTCAAGATAAATTTGATCTTATATGTCCTTAGATTCCACTAATTTCATACCATCCTATGAGATTCAAAACAGAATTAGCTTTTACTCTTAAAATATTATTAATGCGTCATCTTAAATATGCTAATCAATAAAATAGATTCTGCAAGTAGGTAGGAGGGTAAATGCATGTTAATTACTTGGAATGTCTTAATTAACTCCACTGCTAATGATACAGCAATTAAGGTTTAAATATGTTTAGAGGATACATTCGTTCTCTACTGGGTCATGTTGTTGAGTATCACTAAAACCCAGTGGAATGGGGAGTTTTAGACCCAAATTCTCAAGTAATTCTAATCTCAGTGGAAAAAAAACAAGTAAAACTAAAGTTTTAGACTCGCTGCAATATGTTTCCCTCACTCATACACCTTGCTTCCAGTTAGCTATTTTCTTTTCCTTCTTGGTCCCCATATTCCTCTGAGCAAAGAGGAGGTACCTCATGGTAATAATCACTTCCCAAAGTGCTTGGGGGTATACATCAAGTACCACTGATAAGTCAACCTCCCATACATTTTTTCAAGCCATTTTAAAATTCTGAGCCCTGGGAGGGGTGTTATGGTGGTGCCTGTGCACCTATCTGGGCCTAGTGAGTACGTAATGCAGATACCGGGGTAGTTAGATAGAGCCATTTTAGAAACTATCTTCTATTGTGGATTAAAGATAGCCACTGTCTTTAAAAGAAGGACAGATTCCCAAGGCAGAGTCTATTTTCCCTTCTCTTGAATGTGGGCTGGTTCTGTGACTTGCTTTAATCAAGAGAATACAGCCTACATGAAACTGTGTCACTTCCAAGATTGGGCCTTAAGAGATCTATCTGTAACTTCTGCTTTCATGCGCTTGGAACTCAAACAACCTATTGGAGAAAAATCCAAGTCACATGGAAAGAGAACTGAGGCGCTAGTTGACAGCCCCAAGTGGGCTTCCAGCCAACAGCCAGCACCAAGAAAAAGTCATAGAAGTGAGCCACCTTGGATGTTCCAGTCCAGTCAAACCTCTGGATGACTACAGCTCCAGACTGACACCACATATGGAGAAGAACCTTCGAGCTGACTTCAATCAACCAAGACTCTGAAGAGATAATAGATGATTGCTGCTGAAACTACCAAGTACTGGGGGTGCTTTGTTATGCAGCAACAAATAGGCAAAGCCTTTCTAGACCATGTTAGAGACCCAGGCTACAACCAGTTCCTGACTGACTCAGCATTACACAGGATAAGCCATGATAGGCCCAGAAATGGTTGTGATAGAATTGAGAACACTTTCCAATGTGCAACGTGGTGACTAAGATTATGGAGCCAGACTTGGAGCCAGACTGACTAAATTTGAATCCTGGCTTTGCCTTTGATTAGATATGCACCTAGTAGAAGTTATATAACTTTTCCGTGTCTCAGTTTCCATTTGTGTAAAACAGAAATAATACTATTCTCTACCTCATAGGTTTGTTATGAAGATTAAATATCAGTATCAGCATATGTAAAGCACTTTAGAACAGTGCCTGGCACAGAGTAAGCGTTCAGCAAATGTTCTCTATTAATATTATTATTTATTCTCTCTTCTGTTCTACATCCAAGGAACCACCCACTCACAGCTATGGAGGGCTCTATACTTAGGATGTATCCTTCCATACTTAGAGGGATATGGAAAGAAGAGGAGTGCCAAAGTATACTTCCTGTTTGATCCTACACCATGAAGAAATGGATTTCTGCCAGGTCATAAAAGCATGAATGTGATAAATGCTCAATCTGATCAGCCTCACATCAGCAAGGGAGAAAACCAAAAATCAGAGGAAATGCTCAGTTTGTAGGTCATCCTATATAACAGAAATGTCAGACGATTAATAAAACTTTTCTGAGAATAAACTGCTCCTAGGTAGAAGAACCCACACTTTGGGAACTCTATAATTGATTTCTATTCATTAAGAGCACTGAATTTTATATGCATAAAACATAGTCCTGGAGAGTTATTTTCTCAGGCATGTTCTGAGCCATCATTATCACACTCATATCAGCTTTGTTTCTAAATAGTATTTGATAATTCACTCTAACAAATAGGTCAGGTTGCAAAGCATGGTGGTATCCGCATATGTCGTAATAAAATTATTTCTAGCTTATTAATAACACTGGGTTTGTTTGCGGGTTTGGGTTCGTTTTGCTGTGGTTGTTTTGATTTCATATCATATACACACTTTGAGGAACTGCTTTTGCTAAAATGCACAAATGCATTTTAACAATGCATTTGTTAAAACTGAATGATTTGTTTTATGAATGAAGCAAAACATAGCAGCAATTGCTTCATTTTGCTATAGAATTAGTAAGCAGTATTATTTTTGCCCCAGCCCTTTGTCTCTTCTCTATTTTAAAATTACATTGAGGACCTATTTTTATTTACTTCAAAATTAATCATCCCGCATGAATTAATACATAGTAGCCATAAGTTGTTTAAATACTTAGCATTCTGTTTGAGCTCTTGAACATCTGGCCATGGTACTTCTCGTGGCATTTTTTCAGTGGAGGCCCAAAGGTCCTCTTTTCCCATCTCCCCATGTTTCTAGTCATAGGATTATTGTAGATCCAATTCTACTACTCTTATCCTTGTATCTGGACATGGGTCTATGTGGTTTTCAGGACAACTATGATAGATCCATAAATTGATACCCAAGTAGTCCAATCAATTAGAGCTTCTGGGAAAATGTGTTAGGTTTGTGCCTATCTTCAGCATGATAACATCACTCTTCCACATTAGTTATTTTTCTTTCAATGTTATTTATAAGCCTTAGGTCAACTTGAAAAAATTTACATTTTCATTTCATGCCTGCTAATCATGCTTTAAATGGTGACTATCGGAGACGCAAATTAATTGCAAACCATACGAAAGATGCACAAATTAAAATCTATGAAATTTAAATTATTAATGCAGTAGTAATTCAGCTTCCAGGTCCCCCTGTGATCACTAACAGTTTCACTAATTTTATATTCCTCAATGCAAGCTGCATTTGTTGATTTATGACTTTCTTCCCCTCTTAGTTTTTCAATTCCTTTCTTCCTCTTCCTTCCCTTGCCTCCTTTGTCTCTGTTTTGAATCTCCCCTTTTATGTCTACCTATCTTCAGCCCCAAGTTACTACCAGATCTCATCACTCACACACTATTCTGCATTAATTTAACATATCAGTTTTAATATTTTCCATTTTTCATCCCACCAGTCTATTCAAAGAACTTGAAGAAAACGAAAAGCCTGTTTTTCCAAGGGCATTTGTAGGGTTATGGAAATTGTGTTTTGTGTGATTATACACAAAAAGTTTGAGAGTATACACAATTTCAGTGGTATTATTGAGAGTAACTGTTGGGAATACCCCTGAATCCACTTTGTACTTGAACACAGCAAATAATTAAAGTAGCCAAAGCTTCTAAATGTAGCATGATATGAAAAACAGCCTAGTTACATGAAAAAAGTTCTCAGATTAAAACTAATAGATTCAACTAAAGGTTCCAGACTAGTCAAGTTCTACTTGACTTGCATGTATTTTCCATCAGTGTAGCCCATTCATGCCTTCAGTACTTAAATTAACAAAATATTATAAAAATAATGTAACATGACAAATTAATAAAATCGATTTAATCAAAGTATAACACAGTTTACCAACTTGTCCTTTTAGAAGCAAAGATGGGCATAATGTTATCAAAAAGCAATAAATTAATAATGGAAACCATTTGAATAAAATGTCTCTTGAGTTCCTCAGATTAAAAAGTGTCACAGATTTTTCAAGGCACAACTCAACACCGTCTTAATCTTGGTTTTATTTTGATTTGCATAAAATGTTTTTGAGTAGCATTATGTCGGTATTCTTCATAATAGCTAAACTCAAGTGTGCACACATGTTTAGCAAAATCATTTCAGGAAAAGGAAACGTCACCAATGCTTACCTGGCAAGGCTGTTTCATTTTAATGGCTATGACATGGTATCGGTAACAGCAGAGCTCACAAGTCCAGGAACCTCTCTCACTGATCCACTTCAGCAGACACAGCTGATGTGTGTACCGAACGGATCCATCACATCGGCAGGGATTTAACAGCTCCCCCTGAAAAGATAACACTTCAGGTGAGTATCTGTACTGTGTCTCTATTTAAAAAAAAAAACAACAACTAACACTTGCTTTCTTTTCTTTCAAAGCCATTTACCCAGAAGGATACAAGCATCAATCTGCATGAGAAAAATTAAATTAAATTTTTCTGCTTATGATGGGAATGAAACTACAATCCGAAAACTATTTCAAAGATATTGCTGGATGTCATGACATAAATGTTCTACCAACACACAAAATGTCTGCAAGATATAGCTCCCAATACCCTTGGGGAAAAGCTGTACTATTAAATCTCTTTAATAACTTTTAAGTGGATGGTCAGATGCATTTCCTCTGCAGTTATTCTTAATCATGGTTAAAGAAGAAATGCATGGCATCCCAGAAAGTAGCTTGCAATAGCATTATGCTTTTATTTTTTTCTAAATGTAGCATCATAAATATTGTCTTAGGGCACTATATTCCTGAAAGCCTGCATATTCTTATGCAATTTCCTTACTTTTAAAAATATTAAACCTAGTGTTTTCTCAGACCACACATTTTGTAAGAGACACATTATCCTGCTGTCTCCATGATTACTCTCACAGAAGTTTGCACGCACCTCTAACGGAGTTTATAATGTTAGAATTATGTTTCCAACAAAATAGAAAACAAATTGTTAGCTAAATAGTCTTTCTTTCACAAGGTCAAAGTACATTCCTATTTCTCTTGTAAACACTGTAACATGCTTTTTCACATCAGTGAGTCAACAAAATTTGCAGTATGAAAAGACCCTGCCCTCTTTGGTTTAGATGTGACTCACCCCCAGTTTGTATTCTAAGACTATCTGCCTCCGTGTGCATTTGTAGAAAAAGGATTTGTTCCTATCTATAAACCAAAAGCCGTCTAGCAATTCACAAAGGAGATACTTATCACATTATCATTAAAGCACCTGAGGAATGTGTAACTGCAAAACCAGGTAGGGAAAAAAATAAGTGTAGGTCCAATTAAACCGTGCATTCGCCACTGGGACATTTTCATCTGCGTTCACAGAAAGGGAAAAGGGAACACAGGTAGCTGCCACCGAGTTGGCCGGACTGGACCAGCCCGGAAGGAGAGGAGCCGGGAGGCGAGCGCTGTCCGTGGTGCTGAAAGGTCGCCCGTCCTGGGCAGGAGCCGGTCCCGCCCGGACCGGAGCCCAAGGCCGGCAGCTCCCGGGTCCCGCAGGGCCTTCCTTACCTGCTCGGCGCCCTGGAAGCAGATCTTGCAGATGGGCTGGTGGTGCTGGTGCTGGTGCCCGGAGCGCTGGTCGCCAGCGCCGCTGCTGCTGCTGCGGCTGCTACACACCGAGCGCGTCTCGGGCTGGTCGCCGGCGCCCCGCCGCTCGCCCTCCCCGCCCGCGCCGGCCTCAGGCTCTCCGGGGACGCCCTTCCCCGCCGCCGCCTCGGGGACCGCCGCCTCGGGAAGGCGCCGCGGACCTTCCCCGGAGTCGCCGGCCGCCGGACCCTCCTGGCCGGCGGGCGGCAGGGGCGCTGGAGGCGGCGGCGGCGGCAGCTCGTCCGAGCCCCGGCGCCGCGGGACCCGCTCCGCCGGCTGCTCGTCTAGCACCGCGGCGCGCTCGGGGGACGCGGGCGGCGCGGGCAGCGGTGGCGGGTAGCGTGGGGGCGCGGGGGCCGAGGCCGGCTCTCCCGGGGGCGGCGGCGGCGGCGGGGGCGGGGGCGGCTCGGGGTCCCCGCTCTGCGCCCCGCGGCGCCGACCGCCGCTGTGGCCGCCCTCAAAGCTCATGGTGCCGCCGCCGCCGCCGCCCTCCTGCCAGCCCAGCTGGCGGGCCGGGCTGGGGCTGCAGCCGAGGGGAGAGCGGAGGGGTGCGAGGAGAGAGGGAGGCGTGGAGGGAGGGAGGAGGAGGGTGGGGCGGGGGGCGCCAGGGGCTGGGGGGCGGGACGGGGAGGGGACGCGGAGGCCCCGGCGGCGGCGGCGGCGGCACAGGCTGCTGCTCCGCGGAGCCGCCGGCTCGGCTCTTGGGGAGGGGGACCCGAGCCGCCCCGCGGGGGAATTGGGCGGGGGAAGGAGGTGGAGGGAGCTGGCGCTGGGCCGACGGGGAGGAGCGGAGGGGGCGCTCCGGAGGAGGGGGGGACTTGAGGCGGCGGGTGCGAGCCCCGGGTGGGGTGCGGAGACCTCGGGCTGGAATTCAAGGAGGGGAGATCCCCGAGCCGCCTCCCCCGACCCCGCCCCGGGGCCGCTCACGTCGGTTCCGGGGCGGATTACCCCGCTCCAAACGGCGCGGCACTGCGGCTTCGGGGGGGGGGAGGGGTCGGAGAACGCGGGTCCAGAAACCGTTACTGGGAAGGCAAGTGGGCTGCGGCAGCCCGGGGCTGGCTGGGGCGAGGATGCTCGAACCCCAGACCCGCGTGGGAGTTGAGGGGCGCGAGGCTGGTGTCCCGGGCTCGCGGGAGGCGGCCGAGCCCCGGGGACCGTAACCGCTGCTGCCGGGCGATTGCTCCGGGCTCCCTTAGAGCTTTCTCCCCCAAGGGCACTCTCCTGGATCCACCAGAGCCCCAAAAAGCGAAGCCTCTGGAACCTATATCCTCCCTCTGTCCGACTCGCCCCAGACTCTTCCCCGCGTCCTCCTCGCCCCTCCCTCCTGCAGTGAGTACCCTGGTTTATTTGTAAATATCTTGGTGACATTGTAACTATCTTGGGTCATTTCCTGGAATGGTTCCTCCCAGTTGAACTCTGGTGCCACGTTGTGTGGCGGGTGGTTACTTTCTATCTTGCCCTTTTATAAGGGACTCAAATGATACTCTCCTCCTGGAGAAGTGGCTGTGTCCTCAGGTCTTGGTTTTAAGCAGCCCAAGGCCAGTTCTCTGTACCACCACTCTGCGAAACCTTTCTGGGACTTTTCTATGAGCAAGGCAACTCTCTCCTCAGTTCTTTTCTGGAAATAAACTACCATACCTGCAGGAATGGGACGGAAAAGCAAAACATGCAATTGTTACCAAATCCGTTCAGTGTAACCTCATAAAGCATTGGATTTACATAGTGCAATGTGCCTATCCAAATCAATGGTGATTTTCACTATTCTAACAATTTAACGTCTTTGACACAGTCGACTCTCTCTGGGCAGTCATTGTGGGCTGCATTTCTCAGCTGACGACCCGGGATGAGTTAGACAAAGTAACTTTTTCAAGGTCAGAGGACTACTAACAAAACTTTTGAGTTCTCTGACTCCAGATTTTCCGGCTCAAATACCCAATGATTTTTTTTTTCCCCAATCCTCTATGATGCTTCCTAAAACAGTATTATAGTAAATGGTGTGTTTGGTGTCACAGACTCCCATTAGTAGTTAGATGCTCTAAAACGATTGAGATAAACTACCAGCTTAAATTAATTTTTCCATTATACATTTCGGAAGTGAAACGTATATGTGGTTAAAAAAAATAGTCCCAGGTCTTTAGACAGAAATTGGTTTGGTTGCAAAACAGAGAAAGAAGGTAGTGAAAAAAAGTTCAGAAATGCTTTGTCACACATGGTCCTAAACGAAATAGTTTCCAGGAATGTCCTCTAACACTTAGCGCCCCTCACACTAGCTTATTTTTAGTAGCAGAGTGGCAGGCAGCAAGCATATTTTTAAAATAATAATCCCCGAATGCCCTCGGAACTTATCACAATGAAGAAATGTGGTTGTAGATATGTTTTCATTTTCAGTCTGCACCTGTCAAAATGACATTGCACACCGTTTGTATACTGCCACAGTCTTAAGATAGTCATAAGCCTTGATCCTCAATTATTGAATTAAAATCTGTCCAAATTGTCTTTAAAAGTCCCCTAAATAAATCAGTTAATAACTAGTAAATTTCTACCAGGCATGAGAAAGTACATTAATATTTGAAGGACAGCATACAAGTTGTGGATTCTGTATAAAAGATGCAGAATAATTCAGACGGCAGAGTCGCATGAAGAAAGAGCCACAGTGCTAGATGTATCTGCTTAGTTGATTGTTTCTGAAAAATAATGCTAGTAAGAGAAAATTAACTTTCATAGATGCAGTGAGTAGCCACATCAAAACATTATTTCCCAGCTCCTATGACCTCCAAAGCTAACCCTTCCTTGAAAAAGGGAAATTCGTTCATGATCTTCAGTTAACTCAGGGAATCTTAAATGGATCAAGGAAAAACACCTTGGCAACTTTGAATGCATCCTCTGCTGTAAGAATATAGAACATCAGGGAACACAGAAAGGATGAACCACTCTAACTGCTGGCATCCAAGCAAAAGAGATTGTAGAGACACAGACATCTGATAAAGAATATCAGGGCACCGGCAGCCTCTGACAGGCATCCAAAAGCTGACATGCATCTACCAACTAAAAAAATGAATGAGGAGAGAGGCAGTTCTATCAATTTGCTGAATGACCAAATGCTGAAAGGTACATCCAATCTTCTTCAGCTTATATAAAGGAGGAGAAAGATATAAATAATATAACAAATGCTGGAAAATCCTCCTTGGTCATATCTTACTCCCCACCCACCCACCTCCCCTCATGCACACCCTGAGTGAAATGTATCCTTCACCAAAACAGATCTCTCATTATGAAGTTGTAAGCCCTTTAGATCCCAAAAGTTTCTTGAGCTGAATCTAAGAATGAAGGAGAGCTAGGAGGGGCCCAGGCAAGTATGTCACCAAAAGTTACTTGGTGCTATTAGTGGATGTCTCTAGGAATCCTCCTTGAATTTCCCTTGTTGCTACATCCTGAATCTTTCCTCTGGGGACATGTTGGGGATTTTAAATAGAAAACAATCCAGGCTACACTAGGTCAGAATGGTTTCATAATGATTTTAGAGCTAGATTATGTGTGATGACCTTGACATGCCCTTCAACTTGAGGGTTAACAATAGGAGAGTTAGCCTGGAGAACTCTTCAGATTGCTTTTTGATTCTTTTAAGTTAAACTCTTAGAGATGTTCCAAAATTATATAGTTGGCACCTTTGGGGTGCACTAATTCCTTTGGGGTTGTTGTTTTTTTAACTTTTCTTTCCTCCAGATTCCTTCTGTATTTCTTATTTATGTCACAAATTCTGACATTTAGTTTTAAGATAGTCTTGCATTTTCACAAAACTATTTAACGGAGACATTTTTCTCTTTCCCAAACTGATGAAAAAGTGTTCTTTAAGCTATATACTATGCCGTATTTGTAAATCTAAATTCACAGCAAATATTCATTATACATATTGAATAATTTAGTGATTAAAAGATGAATAAGCATATGCAGGGACACATGGTAGCAGTTACATGTTTTTGAAAAGTGTTTTTAGAGAACATTTACTTGGATGGGGTGCACTAATTTGTCTCAGGGGTCACTAAGTACAATACACAGAATTCTCAGTAGCCTTCAAATATCTAAGAGAAAAAAAATGCATTATAGAGCCATGAGGTTATGCTGTATGGGTGGCAGCATGATTTTTTAGAGAAGATAATGAAGTGCAATCTGTGTATTGTAAGTATTCAATGCAGAGCATAGCTTTGTTGTATGTCAGAACTCAAGTGGTATCAGTATGATACAACACAGTGCTATGTGCAGACCGGTCCACAATTTATATCTCCTATTCTCAGCTGTCCACTGACCTTCAGTCTCATGTATCAGCGTGTCACCTTGACTGCTCTACTTAGATGCCAAAGGGCCATTTCAAACCAACCTAGACCAAGAGCAAACAACATCCCAGACCTGGTCGTTTCCCACCCTTCTTTATGCCGCTAAGCTAGTTGTTCATTCATCCAGTTCCTGAAGCCAGAATCCTCAGAGTGATCCTTGACTTAGTTTTCACATCATACATTCAGTGAATCAAAAAGTTCTTTCAGATGTACTTTCAGAACATACTCCAAATTCCACTACTACTTTTCACCAACCCACCATCCCAATTTGAACTACCATCATGGTACTCCAGGACTATCCAAATAGTCTCTTGTTGGGGCGCCTGGGTAGCTTAGTCGGTTAAGCATCTGACTTTGGCTCAGGTCATGATCTTCCAGTTGGTGAGTTTGAGTCCCTCATCTGACTCTACACTGACCGGGCTTGGGATCTCAATCTCTCTCTCTCTCCCTCTCAATCTCTCTCTCTCTCTCTGCTCCCACCCCACTTACACTCTCTTTCCCTCTCTCTCTTTCAAAAATAAGTCAACTTTATTAAAAAAAATAAATAACCTGTTGTCACCCTGCTTCTTACTCTTGAACCCATCTGCTGTAGTGGCCAGGATGATCCAATTCAAACACAGGTCTAATTACACATGCCCCTGCCCAGTACCCACCAATGGCTTCCCGTCATACTGTGTGCTATATCAAAAATGTTAGCATGCCCTACAAGTCTTCTCACTTCTGGCTACCTCTCTGAAGACATGACCATACCTTTCCTCCCTACCCCCCCACCCTCCTCCCTGTTACTCATTCCTATGACACTGACCTTGCCAAGTAAATTCCTTCTCCACTCTTCTTTCTGCTCCTTATGACTCTTTCCTTCACTTCACTCAGATCTCTGCTCAGAGGCACCGCATCAAAAAGACCTTCCTATTAGAAATAGAATTCTCCACTTGTATTTTAACTCTAACCCTATCCTGGGTTTATTCTTTTTCATATCACTACTCAATATTATATGCAGGAATATCCTGTTTTATTGCACTTCATTGTGCCTCACAGATGCTGTGTTTTTTTTACAACTTGAAGGGTTGTGGCAACTCTGCATCGACCAAGTCTGTCAGCCTCATTTTCGCATCAGTATTAGCATTTGTGTGTCGTATTGTGGTAATTCTCACAATATTCTGAACTTTTTAAAATCATTATTATATTTGTTACAGTGACGAGTGATTGCAATTCACTGAAAGCTTAGAG